TATTAGATATATGCATTATGGTGCTCTTTCTCCATTCTTCAGGCATCCTCTTTTCTTTCATTATCTTATTAAATAGTTTGATAAGCCATAATAAGCCTACCTCTACCAAACCTTTCCACACTTCTATTGGAATCCTAATAAGTCCTAATTCCGTTTCCTTTTCATCAAATCAACTCTCCTTTAACTCCAATTACAATGACTCTATTTATAGACTCAAACTTATTAACTGGGATGTCCCTTTACAGACTCCAATTTAGACTAAGAAACTAATTGAAAACAACTTTTAATTGCTTTCAAAATAAGACAAGTCTACAACTAACTCATAAAGACACACTTGAATAAAACAAATAGAATACTGCTGTGGACTGATGTAATTTAAGAAGAGAAACACAGGTTCGAAGAGAAGAAGAGAGAGAGAAAAGAAGAGAGAAAGGAAGGAGAAGAGAGAAAGAAAGGAGGGGTTCGGTTGTATGTATCTGCCGCCCCATTTAATTGTTATTTATAAACATTAATTTCCTTAAGATAGTAGCAGTTATTCTAATACCCCTACTTAAACTCCAACAAAAATAAAAAAGGATAAACATAAACAAGGCCCAACAAACCCAACTATAAAAGGAAATAATAAATAAAACACCTAATAAATAAGTGTGGGGTTGGAACCACACACACTACTAACTATCTCTATAGACACTTTTCCTAATCTCACTAAAAATAAATTTAAAGAACATCAGAAATTACTAAAAATAGTAATAATGAGAATTTCTATAAATAGTAAATTTGAGAGTTACCATAAATCATAATAAAAATCTAAAAAATATAACCATGTTCTTAAGACACCAACAACTAAAGAATAAATAAAAAACAGAAATAGTACCAATATCCTATAACCAAAAATAAATAAATAACAGGTATAGGAATTGAAAAACGAACTTAATTCTCCATGGATTCTTCCCTGCTTCCATATTTGCATGATTGCATCATTCTCCCCTAGTTTGAAAAAACCCTTCCTTGAGTTTTGAAGTGCAAAAGACAAAAAGTAGATTCAAAACTTGAGCATAAGAACTGATGTTGTTGTCATATGCATGAAAGAATATGGTCTTGAAGAGATTTTCTTCAATTCTCAACATTTCAGAAATAGAGATCACCATCTTGATGTGTTGATTGCCTCCTTGTTCTACAATAAAACCTTTAGAGAGACTAACTAGCAGTCCATCATTATATTCTTGATGAAGTTGTTCCTCAAGCAATCAGATAACTTCTTTAGGTGTTTTCTTCAACAACAGATGGCTCCACATCTGGTCCTTCTTTCCCTTCAACTTTTTCTTGTGTCATAATTTCATACCTATGGAGCTTTGATGGTTTACAAATGGCAGATGCCTTATGTAACTCTACTTGTAGATCTTGCAGGTTAACTGGTATCTCATGAAAACCATTGCAGAATTGATTTTTAAGTTCTCTTAATGAGAGTAGGACATATTCCCAACTCATCTTCAAGATTTGCTTTGATACCTCTAGATTTAGCTTTTGTTCTTTTTTCTTGAAGAGTAATAAAGAAATTTTATTAAAAAGAAAAAGGAAAAAAGGTTACAAAATAAGAGGTGGCAAGATGACACCTCGCCAAAACAAAGCATCCAAAGACCAAAAATCACTGCCCTTACCCCAACACTCTTCCTTCAGGTTCATATTGAACGACTCCCAGTTTGTTTCTTGCAAAAGAACTGTCTCCGTTCTGTACCATCTGATAACGCTTTTGACTGCTACTCTTCTTTTTTCTTCAGACCCCTATTATTCCAACTCAATATCCTCAACCTTGACCCCCTCCCTGACCCCTAATACAAGTTAATCTTCAACTCCTTATTAGATCCTCTTCCATCACCTCCTCCTCTCCTCTTTCATCCCAACCTTTGTTCTTTATTAGACTTTCCTCTCTCTTATTCTTTTCTTCCCTCCTAGCCTTCTTGAACTTTTCAAAAGCCCTCCTTGCAAAATCTTCCCTCCCCAGAATAGCAAGCCCAAAGAGTTACTCACTGCCACCTCCTTCTCAACCAAAGTATTGATTTCCAAACCTCCCTTACACACCCCTTCCAATACCCCTTGATCCCCTTCTCTCCCCTTAACTGCGACCTCTTTTACCCCCCTCTGTTTCTTTGAACAGCCATTCCTGTTCTCTTCCTTTCCTCCCTTCTCCCCTTCCATTTCGGTGTCAAGACCTAGGGCACAATGTACCACACCTAGCCATGACTACAGCATCCTCACCAACTATTTGATCGGTAGCCAAATCCCCTGCCACCGACTGAGAAAGATGGGCATGCAGTGGCAATGAACTTGCCTCCCTAACCTGACCCTCTATAGTATTAATCTGTGTAATATCCTCTGGGGTCTTCTTTTGCTCTGCCCCTTCTTGAAAGCCTTCCTCTCTTGGATCCTTTACTGTGTTTTCCACATCATGACTTCGTCTACCCTGTTGAATTTCAAGGAATTTCTTTCCTCCTTCGAATCTGGGAATCACCCAACCTCAATTCTCCTCTTGATGTTTTGAAGACCCTCCCCTTTTTTGTTGAAATGCCCCTTTTTATTGGTCATCTGGAATCTAGATATGCTTCTGATACCAAACTGATGTAGGATGGGGTAGGGCTCCTAATTTAAGATTGTAGTGGGCTTTGTGGGGTGAATGAGGGGCTGTGTATGATTGAATATAAAGAATATGGATGGAAAAGCAAGCAGAATGCTTGCTGTTAGGATAAACAGCAAAGGGATAGATTGCCTAGAAGATGAAATAAGAGAGAGAGGGGAAAAAGGGAGAAATTTCTGGAAACAACCAGAAATCACTAAACCAAAAAATTTATTTCATCAACTCAACTCTCGTTGAACTCTAATTACATTGACTCTATTTATAGACTGAATTTCTAATCCCTTTAAAACTAAGACAAATCTACAAGTAACTCAAGTGCACTTAAATAAGGAATCCGATTCCTAAACAACTCTTTATAGCAATTTCCTAATCCTACTAAACTAACTTGAAAGACATCAAAATTACTAAAATAGTAAACCAGGAGTTTACTAAAAATAATAATTACAAGAATTACTATAAATAGTAAATTCAAGAGTTACCATAAATAGTAATTCTAAAATAGTGATACAAATATAAAAAACATAACCATGTAAGACACCAAAAACTGGAAAGTAAATAAAAAATTGAAACAATACCAATATCCTATTCTCCTAGTAGGGAAAAAAATCTATTTATTTATGTTTGCTCCACTTTTAAATGTTATTGATGTTCATCATTCATTTTGAAATATATGTTTACTATTGTCATATGTAAGATGTTGCAAAATTTAAAATTGTATCTCTTATTTCATTTCTTTCCTTAAACCCAAATCCTCTATGCGCAACATCGCATTTCTTTTCTCCACATGCCCATTTATGTCCTCTCCTATAAAAATTTTCTTTTTATTTAAAATTTCTTGAATTAATCTTTATATGTTTTCAAAAAAACTGTCTTTTAATATTTTCTTCTAAGCCCACTTGAGGTGCACAAGAACTAGTTATGTTAGCGATTTCTTCACCTAAAAAAAGTCAAATTAAACTTAATATTATCTCCAATTCTTTTAATATTTACAATTTTATTTGCTAGATCCTTATCTACTGTTATTGCTACTCCATTTCTATCATTTACTTCTCTTATGCACCATAGTTTGTAGCCATCTATTTCTTGATGTTTCCCTTTCATCATGCAATATTAATCATTCTCTTCTTGATTGTGTCTACTAATCTTACCATATTTTCTAAATATTCCTACATTCCAAGTGGCTAATCGAATTTGTGTTGATTGCACTAACTTCTTTGCTACCCTCATCTAAAAATATGTGGAAACCCTTTCTTATTTTCTAACACAGTTGGGCTTAACTGTGATGCATCGCTTTTGAGGAATGCCCTAGAATACCCCTGCCCATTTAATACCAACTCTGAGATTGAGGTGTAGCACATCACTTTCAGGGAATGCCCTAGTATGAGCACGAAAAAACAATTCAAGATCCATGCCCTAAACAGTTTGTTGAAGGTTTTAATGCCAGCTACCAACCTGATGCCCTAGAAAAATTTTTGGAAGCATTGCATTTCAAATTGTGTGCACATTTTAAACTGTACTAGACTTGGTATTTTGATGACCTTCTAGTTCTCTCTGATTTTCCTTTTTGTTTTGAGGCTGCTCTCTGATTTTCTCTTCTAGATACCATTTATAGACAGCAATCCATTCAGGTTATCAACAATTGAGAAACTCCAAATACTGAAAAAAATGAAAGATAAAAATGAATATGAATATTCCAATAATGAATCAATCTTTTTAAAGAAATCATGTCACTTCTCATATTCAGTTAATACTTATACACTATAAAATTTATGTCAGCTGTCTTGTTTCTCCATAAAACTCAATTAACATTAAGGAGAAATTAGTTGCACTCCAACTTAGCAACTTAAATTTGGCAACACGGCAATTGGATGAAATACGTTGCACTTACTACACATGTATCAGTATTTCAGTTTACTTTAGCAAGCATATTATTGATTTCTTTATATAATCTCTAAAGCATCGTGGTCCCTGGGATGTTACCTGATGATGGTTCAAGCTATCCGGGGTCTTGGAAGGGGTGGACTGGATATGGACTTAATCTTTGGCATTTGTTTTGATAAAGTATCTACTCTTAAGACTCAAACTTGCATTCTCATACTTTCCAGCCTTAATTATAATTAGTGCAAGGTCATTTGTTTTTTTACAGATCTTATATGAAATTAAATTGAATATTTGAACATTTTCCTCGGCTGAAGGCCATATTAATTTTAAAGGATTCTATTAAAGTCTACTCTGTTGCCATCGAAAGGAATTGTTGGAGCTGAACTTAAAATCAGAAGTCTGTTCTTATTTTGACTTGGGAATGGAACAGAAGTATTCTTAGTATATTAGTTATTATTTCCTCATCCATTCGTTATTCCTGAGACAGGTTTTATGCATCAGAAGTATTGCTGGCACTTGAGTATCTGCACATGCTTGGAGTTGTGTACAGAGACCTGAAGCCAGAAAATGTGCTAGTAAGGGAGGAGGGACATATAATGCTCTCTGACTTTGACCTGTCACTGCGTTGCTCTGTCAGCCCAACTCTTGTAAAATCATCATCAGTTGGTGGTATTGGAAACATAGGTGGCATTCTCAGTGATGAGTTTGCAATACCTGGATGTATCCAACCATCATCATTCTTCCCACGCATCCTACCTAAGAAGAGTCGGAAATCTAAATCAGATTTTGGCCTCTTTGCTGGGGGATCCCTCCCAGAACTAATGGCAGAGCCCACGAATGCACGTTCCATGTCATTTGTGGGGACACATGAGTACCTGGCACCTGAGATCATACGCGGTGAGGGCCATGGTAGTGCAGTTGATTGGTGGACATTTGGCATTTTCTTGTATGAGCTGTTGCATGGGACAACCCCATTCAAAGGGGCAGGCAACCGTGCGACACTCTTCAATGTGGTGGACCAGCCACTCCGGTTTCCAGATGTACCAAGTGTGAGCCTTGTGGCACGGGATCTCATCCGTGGCCTCTTGGTGAAGGATCCACAGAAACGAATAGCCTACAAAAGAGGTGCCACAGAGATCAAACAGCACCCATTCTTTGAAGGAGTTAATTGGGCCCTAGTGAGGAGCAGCATGCCACCAATTGTGCCCCCACCCATGGACTTCAGCCAATATGCCAGTAAGGAGACAAACCACATGGATAAGAAGACAATAGGAAGTAGTAATACCAGTGGTGGTGGTGGTGGAAATAAGAACATCTCTGGTGACTCTGCTTCCCTTGATTTTGAATATTTCTAGGATAACTGCAGTTGCATATTAAAGTAGGGTGCTCCAAATTCAGGGATCAAACAGCCACATTAAATGTTCTTGGTTGGAAACTGAAGTTGTAATTACAGTTGTACACATGTTGGAGGGAAAATTTCTTGTACATCTGCAAGGATAAGTATTTCAGATGTATCTGTTTTAACATGTATTTATCAAAAAGAATGTTGATGGTCAGAAAGATTAAATTCTTTTCAGTTTTTTTTTTTTTTTTTGGTGGGGGGGACTAAACATTGCATTTTGAAGGATGCTGCAAGATCCATCCTATATCTTACTGTATTGTCAAGATTGATCTGACTTTGCAATTTCTATAAAATCTGTATTTTTTACACTTAAAAATATTTGCAACAGATTAGATTGATTAAATACTTTTCATTGTTCATATGTTAAATAATTTGCTTTTGATTCTTTCTTCAAATTTATGAAAGGATCGTAAATGATTCCAACGACAATTCAGTTTTCATTTTTTTTTTTTTTGGTAGTACAATTCGGTTTTGAGTGTTAGATTTCAGCTATTCCTAATAACTCTTCTCGTTTTAGCTTGTTTTTATCTTGTAAGTCGACATGGATAAGGATGGACTTAGAGGGAAGGAAGATAGTTACAGGGAATGGTTCGTCTATTTATAGAAGTATGGGAGTAAGAGTACATGCATGAAGCAATAATTCCAGAATATTCCTTAGCTTGAGTGGTATGAGATCAATCCTGTAGATTTCTCCTTTATTTTTTGGAATAGAACACGATTTTGGATTCTCTTAGGAAGTGACACGTGTTAGTATGACACATGGGTATAGCCGAACATGATTTCCCTGATGTATTGATCATGCATCTGACACCTTTGATACAATTCTCAGGGTTAACTTTGGCGTTGGGGCCAAACAGCAGTTTTTGGTTCTGGGCAGTTCATCTATTTATGTCCATGTTTTTGTTTTTAGTCAAAATAAAAATTTACCCATTTTCATGATAATGTAGCATTCTCATAAATTCTCTGTATAGCATAGACTGTTGGCCCCCAACAGCTAAAGTTTTTTCCCAGCTCTCATCGCACTTAGGTACAAGTCCAACAATATTTAACTTGCCTCCAAGACATACGCATGCGGTTGACTTTGTGAGGCAACTTCGTGAAGTTGGAATGTTGTGGGGTCGCGAGGAAGGCGTATTGATAATCCGGTGAAGCAACTTGCGAGGTTAAGTTGTGATGAGGTGGTTTGCAAGGTTCAGTCGATGAGGTCTTACGAGGCAATATTGTGAACTTATTCAAGACTTTGTGAGGCTTGACTCGGTTTTGCTCCCGTGCTATGCTATTATGCCACGAGGCTCTCATTTGTTCTAGGTTTCGTCGCATATGTTACTTCTTTACCCTTTGAATGTCTATTCATTGTCTTACATTAGCCTCCTACTAAGCAATAGAGGAATCTGTTTGTTAAGTAAAAAAAAAGGGAGAAGTATGGATACACACTATGCAGAATTCTGAATTCCAACCCCCCTACTACTAGCCCTCTCCCCCTATAAGCCACATTCTGCCTAGGAATTTGGCATCAATTCATGGTCAGGCTGTATTTGGTTGGAGTGCAATTTTATTTGTAGTGGCTCAATTTGGAAAGAGTACAAATACAAATATATGCAAAATAATACAAAATACAAGGTTTTGCACTCTATAAATTTGTATTTTTACTACTTCCAAACCGAGCTAGTAGTACAAGTGCATAGGAGTATAAGCAAAAAAAAATTGCAAATTCTTGTTTAAATTTGTTTTGGGTTTTACTTTATTCTGTTTCATGTCTTAATTTACTTCATTGTACTGCAATCAAACAAAACTAGGTCAGAATTTACACTCAAATCATTTGCGCTATTATAGTTTTGGATCAGTGCAAATTTATTTACATTGCAACCGAAGTCAATATAATCTTGTTTGTGCATATTTCCTGTATTTCATGTTTCCTCTACTGATATGGTTCATTTTCTTAAGTTCCTATTTTTGGTTTTAGCATCTCTTTTGGTTCGGTTAGAATTTACAGAGAGGTCATTTAATATTTTAAATGCTTACCTGTATTATCTTATTTTAAATATTTCTTACATTTTTTTTTGTTTGGTTGTGCATCAATTTAAACGTTTATTGCTTTTCACCTTAGATTAATATCCATAAAAGCATGTCACATCAACATTTTGTTTCAAGAAATGATGAGCGAAAACGAAAATTGGAGGTTTCCCCAAATGCCCCATGCACAAAAAATCAAGTATTTCAGTTTTTCAATGTTTATTTGATAAATAATGAAACAAAACAGTGGTTTTATATACAATAAACACAAACACCCATGTGGCACTGATGTAGCTAGTTTCATATGCAAACAGCGTTTCAAGAAATATTGTATTGGCACTGTTTTTTGTTCTTTTTTTTTGAATTTATTTAAGGCCGATCTACCCCCTGAACCACTTGTCGACCCATAACACCCCTTATAAGGGCATATCAAGAAAGCCCCGATATAATACATATCATTTCGATATGTATGAAAATTTCGAACCTTGACGCCAACTGAACCAAACATCCCCATCCCCATAGTGCTTAATTGTTGGATGGAGCATGGTCTTGTGGTAATGTAGAAGTGCTAAATCCCCTATATAATTATGCTCCTATATATCCAAGTATCTATGTAATCGGGTAGTAAACTTCCTTATGATTTTATTCCATCCGAATCTATTATAGTTTTTTTTTTTGGATCTTAAGTTAGTTAAAGCGACATTTTATCAATTTTGTATGAAGGTCCTATTTATCCTCTTGTGAACAATTGGCTAGCTGGTTTAATTTTATACTAGCCGATCCTGAAATTAACTGGGCCCCCTTCTTTAGACTCTGCAAATGTCTCTGGAGTTGAAGAACTCAAGACCTAGAGTGTGAAGCAAAAGCAACTTCATTCTAGAGCACTCCATGCTTCTGCTGCAACGGTTGAAAGACCTACAACCTAGCGGAGCACTAGTCCAACTCAACACGAGTTGGCGTAGCTGATACCATGAATCAAATTCTGGGTTTAGAATCCTTTTAGTTCAATCAGTAGGATCGATCAACAATCTCTTCGATCTGGTGGTGCTTAATTAATTTTTCCTTCAACCATACCCATCATGAGTTTATGCCTCCTCTCCTTAGTATCAGTGGAAGCAACCAACTGAGCTCTCTAGAGAAGGTACGTAATTCTCACTATTGAGTTTGTAACGTTAGGCATGGAAGAGATGGCGGAATGAAAGCAGCTGTTGAGAGAGAAGTTGAACTTGCATTGGCTGAGATCTGGGTGGAACCATTGGTGCCGCTTATTGCCGTTGTCTCTTCCTATGTGAAGGATAAATCCTAAGAGTTCTCAGATAATTCTTAGGTCATCGATATCTTATCATATCTAACCTCTGTACAGCTGTTCTTATCTGATATAAACAACCTACTCAAACTCAATCACCTGTAAACCTATATAAGTAATACAATCTTTGCTCATAGTGTGTGCGATTTCTATTAGCCTCTGTTTCAGAATTAGTGTTTTCGTCTTATAGATCATAGACTTTGATAACAAATTTGAAAACAAGAAAAACAGTAGAAAGAATAATAGTGTACGTAGTTCAGTGGTTGGTTCCACCCAGAAGTCCCTCTAGTATTAATAGACTTGGAAATTAGTACGTAGTGCAATTACGTACATTAGGACTCTCTACCAAGAGAGTTAAATACAAACAAGCTAGAATGGGAAATTAACAATGCTAATTAGTGATAGTTACAAAATCCAACTGATGAATAATATCCAATATCTTGACTGACCTGAGGTTATCTCATCTCAACTCAGAACGTGCCCTCAGCCTTCAATTTTGGTTGGTTTAGAGTCTAGATGTACATTCTAGCTAGTAGTGTTTGGGTTGCAAATTGCATATTAATTAAAGTGATGGAAACCTTGCCAAGTTGCAAAGACAAACACATAGTAGTGATTTTTAATTGATGTGTACAAACTACAATGAAAGAAATACATTCATGGGGTGGGGAGAGAAAATCCGATACATAGGGGAGTGGGGACACAACCTGTCGTTCATGTAGCTCTATGTTGGATTCTTAGACAAATTTTGCAAGCTGGACATAACTAGCTAGCTAGCTTTTGAAAAGACCTTGAAAGTTGAAACCAGGGCTTCTCCTCATCTTTTCTAACTTGAACCCTACCAACTCTGAATGATGCATTTCTCATGTTTGTCAAGGCCAGTCTGCTAGACCCAACAGATTTGCCAGCATCGATCAAAATTACAAAATTATACACATTACGATGATCTACATGGTCTCCGTGTCTGTTCAACACAGCATCAAGAAAAATAACTACTTGATAGATAGCCTTAGGGTCTGTTTAATTAGCGGTTAGAGTTGGATGGATTCAAAATCCCGCTAAATGCATTGTCTATTCTCATAGTCTGTTTGGTTTAGACAGGAATTAAAAGAATCTGGAAAGGAATTACATTCCCAAGGAAGGAGGAGGGAATGGCATTCCCTCCGGTGAAAAAAACAGCCAGTAAGAATGAAAATAGTATTCCAATTCCACCCAACCAAACAGTTTAAATTAAAATGAGTTAATTCCGATTCCACCCCGATCAACCCAGATTCTGTAAACAATGCTTTCAACTGTCACTGCCTCACCGGAGGGGTGGCCGATTACTGATATACACAAACAAAATGATTTCTAACTGTTCATAGGCATGCATGAATTCGGAGCAAATAAAAGTTTTAATTTAATCATATTAAATTATGTTTGCTGAATCAAAATTATTATTATTATTATTATTAAATAATAAATGAGGACCAAAGTATGATAATTGTAAATGTCTTTTTTTTTTTTTTTATTCTTTAGGGTACATGAAGAAGACCTTAGGCACAATTATTAGACTTCACAAACGTCCCTATCTTTTTTTTTTTTTTTTTCTATTTACTTTTATCCTTCTATTTTCTTTTCTTTTGTTGGGGTGGGGCGAGAGGGACGCTTTCTTCGTGTGCATGTCATTCTCATCATCTCCCATCCAAAGTTTTTTGGGAGAATGACCGATTAGCCCAGGGTCAGCATTTGTGCGGAATTGATGTTAATTTACTGGTGGGCATTGATGTGTAGAGTGGGGGTTTTTGACCTTTTAAATGTTTATACCTCTGCAGTAGAAATAAGAAATCTGCATTGGGCCTATCCGTATTTCTCCATAGTTTTTTTTTAAGCAAGGTTTAAAACAACATAGATAGATAGGGTCATATTAATGGATGTAGCAGTCGTTGTAATGCTAAAAGAGCAAGATGATAATTGATGGTGTACGATTCGGAAGCTCCTAGTTG